TGAAGATGCGAGGAAGCCGGGTGGAGGTGGGGAACCGCCGCTGCCCGCACACCCCTTCCCCACCTGAGAGCTTGTGCAGGTGGCAGTCTAACAGGGGGTGTGCCCTGTACAAGTGCCTGCTGTCTTTTCTTAGGGCGGCTAGGTTTTGTTGCCCATTCTCCTGATGAAAAGTATAATGGTCGTTTAACCTTTCTGTGGACCTCTTCTAATATTTGCTGCACACACACCCCTTTCTGGGAAGTCCTTCTGAATATCTAACCATTGTGCCTCATGCTGCATCATCTTGTTTTGTTCTTGGAAGATAAGAGAGCCATGTCGCCTCTCACATGCTTTAAATCCTTTGTTACAAACCCCTAATAGTCCAATTACAGCCACCTGCCCACACTCTTGAGTTTTACGAACGTGATAGAAGGCTAGGCCACTAGAAAAGGGGAAATGGAGACCCAGACTCAACAAGAAACGAAGCCAGGACACAGGGCCCCCGAGGCAGAACGCAGTGACAGACAGCTAGGTCTGGACCAACAGACAGCGGGCAGAGTAGGAAGGAAGGGGGATGGGAGAGAGGCGGGCAGACAAAGAGAAACACACAAAGCGCTGGACAGGCAAAGGGACTGTGGCTGGGGACAGGCAGACAGCCGAGAAGCCGAGACAGCTGCGCGTCCGCCGGCGGGCACGTGAGCGAGCCCTCCCGCCTGTCCATGTCACTCAAGGCTCTGCAGGAATGTGGCCGGGGTCCCTGGGGTGCTACGGCTCTTGAGTCTGCATCTTGGTCATTTTCCTGCGGGTCCTTCCCCAGCCCCCTAGCTCACCGTGCCTGCCCTCCTGTCTCCCCTATCTGTGACCCTGGCCCAGTCCCCGCACCTCATGGCCTGCCCTTCGCCCTGACTCAGGGAAGCAGACATCCCCCGGACTCCGCCAGAGAAGGCCAAGGGCAGCTCGACTGCGCCCAGGTCCAGCCAGGCTCAGGGCTGGGAAGCGCGGGTATGGGCTCATCCAGGCCCAGAGGGTGGGTGTGGTCGGGGCGCATTTGCATCTCATTTGCATGTGTGAGTTCCCATTCCTCCCCTCGGACTCTGCAGTCCACCCCCCACCCCCCACCCCCGCCTTGGACTTCAGCAAGGCCCGGGTGGCCGTGGAGAGGTGAGGAAGGGCAGGCGGGAGCAAAATGCCTAATGGAGCCTGGGGGAGTCACTGCTCACTACAGCACAAGCTCACCCCCACCCCCGCCCGGGAGCCCTGGCTGCACCGTCTCAGGTCCTCTGTGACAGTCTCTGGCTCCCCACACACAGTATAGCCCAACTGAAGTCAGCCGCCTCCATGAAGCTGTCTCTGGCTACACAAGCCCCAGGTGCTGACCACTCCATGCTGAAAGGCCCTTCTAAAAGTGTCCTGGTCTGGCCTGTCACCAAAGGATGGCACAAAGCTTACACAACTTAATAGACCTATGGTAGTCTCTCAAGTAGGACGGTCTTCCCCGCACGCCTCCTATGGAACCTGGTAAACTCCAGCGCATCCCTCAAAACCCAATCAACAGTCACTTCCCCTGGGAAGCCTTTCCTGACGTTCCTCCTAAACACACCACTACCTCCAGCACCAGGCAGGGGCCGCACACCCTGGGCAACCTTCCCGGAACACACCTCTTAGAGATGCAGCTCACATCTCCTTAGCGTGCCAAGCCACCAAGTAGGGGAACACCCCAGAGGAGGTCTGGAAGGAATAGCAACCAAGCGAGCCAGGACCAGGCTGGGGTCCCGGGTGCGCGGGGGACGCTTTCTGGTTTCCTGAATGGTCCCTTCTCACGAGGAAGCATGGAAGGGCAGGGCCAGGTGGGGGGAAAGAAAGAAAAACTGGGGCTGCGTGGGGAGAGTGGGTCGGGGAGGAAATGAAGAGGAGCAGAGAACCCAAAGCAAGAAGAGAAGAGGCGAGCCGGGCGGGAGGGCGGAGCCCTGGGGGCTGGGTCGGTGGAGGGCGGAGTCAGGGGGAGTGAGCCTTGACCCTGGCTGGCTTAGTTCCAACTGGGCCTGGTCTCTCCTGCCTTGGTTTTTCGGTTCAGTTTGGTTTGGTCTGGGCTTTATTTGATGGGGTTGTCCAGTGTGACCTCAGCTGTCCTGGAACTTGCAGTGATCCTCCAGGCACAAACCACCACACAGTTTTTCTGCCTGAGAAATGGATGCATCTCCCTCCTGCCCTATCCCCGACCTTGGAAGGAAGATGGGGCAACAGAGGGTGGTCACCTGCCCACCGGGACAACTGAGTGCGCTGGCCGGCTGCGTGGCTTTGTAGCCCTCACCCCGGCTGACTGCCGGCCTCTATCTGACCGTGTGGGCCTCCAGCGCACACCGAGTGACTGCGAAAGCTGATTCCTTCCCCTGACCCTGGCAGAGGGCTCAGGTGCTCATGGCGCCGGCGTGTCCATGGTCGTCCTTTGCTCAAAGAAACGCAGTCAGTGCAGGTAACTGGACTGCCACTACCTGCCACTGCCCCTCCGCTTGCCGTGGGGGTTTAGGTGGGGGGCCTGTGGGTCACAGAATACTCTCCCTGACCCTGCAGAACCAGAGCCTAGCTCCGGAGGGACAAGCCGCTTTCCTGCATTCGCCAAACCCTGTAGCTCGTGGCCCTGTGAGGAAGTCCCTCCTGGTACCTAGCTTACATCTTTCTTGATACTCTGTTTTCGAAGCCCAGTAGTGACAAAGCAGAGCAGAGCTCTGGTGCTCTGAGGGATGGTGGGCAAGAGAATAGCTGTTAATCTTGGCTGGGGGGAGTGGATGTGGGAACAGACGAGAAGAGAGGAGGAAAAGGAAGGCCCGGCTAAGGACAAGGAGGGGAGCACCAGTAAGGCAGGGATGAGGAAGCAGCATCCACCACCTCCTCTCTCCCTCCTTTGCAGTTGAAATGGAGGGTAGACAACTGGAAGGACTTACTGACTGAGACATGGGAGGAATTCTGGGATAGGAAAATGAAATCAAAGTCTGCATGGGTCTGGCAGCATCCGAGTTGATGCGGACCCCTCGGTGGCAGCTGTAGGGGCAAGAGTTGGGGTGACCCGAGGTGCAAAGAAGCTCTGCGTGCAGGCATCGCAGGGGTCCTCACAGCACCGTCAAGAGAAGGAAAAAGCCTGGCCCCAGAGCCCCCTTGTGGCCACTCAAGGCAGGACGCATGGTGCTGCCTGGCACTCAGACTGGCTGTGAGGCCTGGGCAGCTGCCAGAGAGGCTGCTGCGGTGTAAGCCCCGCGTCTGGTCAGCCTCAAAAAGGAGGACACAGCTTAACGCCTTGGGTTCTCATAGCTACCAGACCTTGGCACATCTTCCGTTGGGCTTCAATTTCCTCTTCCATCCAAAGAGATCAAATTGATTTTGAATGATTCCCACATTGGAGGACCCCGTGACCCCAGCCCTAGGGGGAGAGACTGAGGCTGGGGAAGCCACTGGCCTCAGATTCGTTGCAATCCTCCTGTTTTCGTCAACTGATGAGATGATCAACTGAAACTACCATATCTGGCCTACTGTGTTAAGACTTCAGCATGTGGGCCAGGCGGTCGGTGGTGGTGCACGCCTTTAATCCCAGCACTTGGGAGGCAGAGGCTGGCCTGGTCTACAGAGCAAGTTCCAAAACATCAGGGCTAAGCAGAAAAACTGTCTCAAAAAACAGAACAAACAACAACAACAAAAAGGCTTTGACATGTGTTGAGGGTAAGGGCTCAGCTACTGGCCACAGGGGTGCAATGGACTCTACCCCTCTATACCTCTCCCGTGCTGAGACCTTTGCAGGGTCCCAGGAGCCCTTAGAGGGAATTACAAAGAGACCCTGAAGACTCAAGTCCTCCTGCAATGCCTTCAAGGCAGGGTGGTCTGTAAGTGGTCTGCTCAGCACCACGTGGGTGTGTTGGTGGTCAGTCAGGCTGGCCTGGGGCCACAAGAGCACGGAAGAAAACCAGGGAACCCTCAAGAGCTAGCACCCCCTTGACACATCACCAAATGCTGTCTCTCCACACACTCAGCCACGCCTAGGGTCAAGGTGGAACAGAGCCCAGAGGCTGAAGCCTGGGTGAGAACCTCTCAGGCATGCTCAGCCTCCCACACTATGGAATCCACAGGCACATCCCCACACTCAAGTCTCCCCACACATGTGACTCTCCCAGACACTCCATAGTTCTGAGGTGATGGTGGAGAGCATGCAAGTCATAGGACAGAGAGAGACAAAGGGTAAAGGCAGGCTGCCTGCAGCATTGGTGGGGCACTGAGGAGATCATTAGCTTTGACCACTTGCCAGCTCTTATGATGGAAGCCAAGGATCCGTACAGTGAGTGTGGAAAGTGAGTGACAAGAAGGAACTGGGGGATGGTGCTTTAACCCAGAGACCAGTTTCCTCCTGGAGCCACACTCTTTAGGACTACTCTCCTGGGCTATGTGGAAATTCTTCCAGATATCTAACCTAGAGGGCTTCACTGTGGAGATTATTTTACTTTTATTAAGCCATAGAAACCATTTTGGAACTCTGAAGAGGAAAGAGAGGTAAACACTAGGAGAGGGAGAGAGACAGGGTGGCACCAGACAGAACTGTGACAGT